TGACGGAACAACAGAGTTAATGAGTAATTGAATGTATGCGAACAAAATATTGTTGGCCACGTGAGACGTGAATTATAGTGTTTGTTATAGAGCGACTGTTGAAATTAAGTGTATCGTAAAGTTTTATTCGGAAAGAATAAACCAGTTTTATTTAAGAAAGGACTTGTGTCGCTAAAGTTTCGTCGGAACGAATTTACGGAAAATTAACTAACGAACAGAGACGTAACAATATATTTGTCATTAGCGGTAGCTCAGGAATGCGATGCATCATGGAAGAGAGCGATGTTTTTATCTGCGGAAGGAGGTTCGGCATGGCCAGGTGGTTAGGGCACTCGGCTCGCAATCTGTGGGTCGCGCGTTCGAATCCCCGTCACACCAAACATGCGCGCAATATAATGTTTCGATCAATTCCACTATTCGTTGGTAAAAAACAATATTATACTACTGAATTAGGGACGGCTAGCACAGAAAACCCTCGTGTAGCTTTGCGTGAAATTCAAAAAACAAACAACCAAAAGATTTTTCGGCTTATACTGTAGTGACGGAGATTGCAGTGAATATCTTACACTGACAACGAATATTCAGATAAAACGATATGTCAGCTGCTGTAGTTCTTTCATCACGTTGTTAGGTCTGTTTTCCATGGGTTGCTCTATACATTTGGCTAGCCACATATCGTACTCGTTCTTTAGGTCATCCAGTGTACCAGGAACATCATTCTAATTTTTTATAGTACTAACTACAGCCACGTACTTTGACATGAGGTATTGTTTCATGCACACCGTCTAATATGTTTACTGAATCTCTCAACTAATATATTTGAAAGGCTACAGTGCCTTGCCAAAGTATTCACCCTTCTGCAAAAGTTCCACATTTTGTTGCCTTTTGAGCTTGTAATCATAAAACTTTCAAATGGGTCTTTATGTTTAGAATCTACACAATCTACTCCAAAATGAGAAAGCTAATAAAACGCTGATATTATTTAAGCAAGTTAGATTTTCAAAAAATTACAATATTCTAAATTGCATGATATTTAACCCCTTTGCTATGGCAACTCTAAAACAATTCAGGTGTAAATGATTAGTTTGAAAGGTCACAAAATTAGTGTGATGGTGTCTGTATATAATCAAAGCAATTTAACTTGATTTCAGAGTAAATGCATCTGTTCAAGCCACAACTCACATAGTGATATGACAAACCAACCACGAAGACCAAGGAGCTTTCCAAACAATCAGGAATAAAATGGTACAGAAGCTTTGATCAGGAGAAGGTTACAAGAAAATTTCAAAGTCTCTGATTATCGCTTTGAGTATGGTAAAGTCCATCATTAAGAAGTAGAATGTGGTTCATACCACCCAGTCATTACCAAGATCAGGCCATCCTTCCAAACTAAGCAACCAGGCAAGCAGGAAACTGGTTAGAGATGCCACTGTGAAGTCAACAGTGACTTTGAAAGGTTTACAAAATTTCCATGTCTGAGAAGGGAGTTGATGTTCTTACGTCAACAATATCTCGGTCCCTACACAAAGCTGGCCTGTTTGGGCCAGTGGCAAGAAAGTAGCCATTACTGAAAAAGAATCATCCTATAGCTCGTATGAAGTTTGCGACAAAGCATGTTAATGATACTGCAGACATGTGGCAGAAGGTTTTGTAGTCAGACAAGAATTGAGCTTTTTGGCCTAAATTCAAAGCGTTATCTCTGGCGCAAACCCAACACAGCATATCACCCAGTTAACACCATCCCAACTGTCGAGCATGGTGGCGGCAGCATCATGTTATGGGGATGCTTCTCATCAGCAGGGACTGGGAAGCTTGTCAGGATTGAGGAGAAAATGGATGGTGCAAAGTACAGGCGAATCCTAGAGGAGAACCTGCTTGATTCAGCCAAGAATCTAAAACTGAGTCCACATTTCAGCACGACAATTACCCGAAGCACAAGGTCAATGCCACACTGGAGTGGTTTCAAAACAAGAAAGTGAATGTCCTGGAGTCAAAATTCTGACTTGAACCCAAAAGAAAATTTATGGCGACACTTGAAAATTGCAGTCCATCAATGGTCCCCAACGATCTTGTCAGAATTGGAACAATTTTGCCAGGACGAATGGGCAAAAATTACACCATCCAATTGTGCAAGGCTGGTAGAGACCTATCCAAAAATACTCACAGCAGTAACTGCTGCCAAAAGTGTTTCCACCAAGTATTGACTTAAGTGGCTGAACACTTATGCAATCAGCAAATTTCGATTTCTATATTTTCTTTGCAGGTTTTGCTGACATTCAACCTTTTTTACACATAACAGTGTTAAATTTGATCATTAGGGTTTTGAATAAAACAAGTTCATTAAAAAAAATGATTATATTATTTGTATTTCATCAAAATGTGACATCATTGGTAGAGTGAATACTTTAGCAAGGCACTGTAAGTAAAATTAATGGAAAACATCAACACACACACAAAAATAGTAAGACTAATATATAAGAAGAAGGTCTGAAGAGGTAAATTACACTAATTATATGACCATCCAAGCTAATCATTTGCACCTGAACTGATTTAGGGTTGAAAACTTATGCAATTTGAGAATATTCTAATTTTCATTGAAAATATAACTTACTTTCTTATTATCAGCGATTTTTTTTTTATTTAGCTTTCTCAGTTTGGAATAGATTGTATAGATTCTAAATATAAAGTCCAATTTGTAAGTTTCATGACTGTAAGTTTCATGCTCAACAAAATGTGGAACTATTGCAGTGAAGTGAATACTTTTGCAAGGCACTGTAGTTGTCTAACAAGTGACTGGCAGTGCGCCAGTGTTGTTTTCTTTCATTCAGTGCTCATTTATTTGAACAATTCCAGTTATGGACTCGTCGGAGAGGGAACAACAAAATTTTATAACAATCTTAAAATATGTGTTTTTCTTTCTTTTCTTCAACAATTTTGAGTCCAATGTAAACTACCTCATTAGAACTCTGAAAGCATTTAAATTTACCCCCGATCTTACCCGTAACTTAAAAACGTTTTTCATGGTGTTAATCAAACTTTTCAGTTACTCACTTTAGTCAAATTCTTAAGTTTTTATTGTTTGAAGATGGTGTTTCTCTAGTATTTCAGTTTTAGTGTTATGCTTTCCTATTTTTATGTCCCGGTTTTCTATCGGCTGATCATGAGCATTCAATATTTTAATTACTGGTGTTCTTTCAATTTGTTTGGAGAGATAATTTAATAAGACAAAACAAAAAAACACAAAACAACTACATCTTCTATTTTATAAAATTGTAATTTCTCTTTAATTTAAAGCAATGAATGATATCTTCCATTTTGTCTACTTTTAAAAATAAATATTTCATTTTCATGTTTTCTCATTTAGTGATATTTAGTGAAAATTACGCTTTATAAAATGAATATTTTAATAAAATTATTATTATTATTATCATTATATATCCTATCCCGGAACTTGTATTGAAATAGTTGCCACCCTCTATAACATTATTAAATGGAAAGAAAAAGTAGAGAGAACGGAAATGGTGGTCTGTCCTATGTACGGAGATACTACGAAGTAATTGCTAGTGGTTGATGATTACATTCAAAAATGGTACGAATGAAGATTTATTTTTTGGTTCTGAAAAGGAAATGTAGTTATTAATATTATCGTTATTATCTAGATTTGGAAATAAGCATCTTGAAGATTATTAAAGTATACGATGAATAAGAATCGTTTTATATCATCAGTATATATAATTATATGTAACTAAGTATAACAGTAATAGTGTAAGACAAAGCAGGAAGAATCGCTCATTAAATTTCTTCTAGTCTACTACTACTATTAGTTTCAAAACGTATTTTTATTAGTAATTTTAATAAAGATTATTTAACATTAGAGCATTTATATATATTATATTATAATTAATAATTAAAGTAAAATTAGTGGACTCTATAAAGTTAGCTTTGTTTTTCCTAATTTTAGCTATTTTTTAAAACGAAGTAGTATAGTCTAGACTAGACTATTCTTACTAGTATTCTAAAATTCTGCTTTCAAGATCTTTTAAAGTTTAGTAAATTTTTATACTATATTTGAATTTCTAGACAGGAAAAATATTGATTAAGATTTAAAAGAAAGAGCAGACCTAGAATAAAAATGTAAATGACATGTAACTGTAATCTGTATTTAGCTTAGAAGTTAAGACTTATTCTTAAGTCTCCACTGTAAATCAGAGTAACATTGGTTAGTCATTACATTACTAGACTAAGGACAATCCACAGCACGTAATCTGTTTTATACAATAGACTGTTTATAGTATTACTTTCAATAATACACTAAAACCTATTTAAGTCTGAAAGCTATTATAGCAAGCATTATTATAATATTACTATAATATCATTAGAATATTACTCACTACTACTACTAAGTAGTATCAGTATTTTATTACATTGTACCTAATAGATATTAATTTGATTAGAATATGAAATCTTATTCATATTAACATGTAAGTAACTTTTTTCTTTAATCTTGTGTCTTAACAATACATACCAATTTTTTTAACTTGTATCATATCTAAAGTTTTTTAAAAGTTGGCTTACTTTTTTTTAAATGCTTAATGTTATTGTTCTGGATAGAACATTATACTAATCATGGCCACCCCTTATTCTCCAAAACACTAAAAAGAAATTTAGTGGTATTGTGGTCACCTCTTATCCACCAAGATATTATAAAAAAAATTTAGTGGTATCATGGTTATCTCTTGTCCACTAAGACATCAGAAACAAATTCAGAGGCAATCCCTCTTAAAATAAAATTATATAAAGCTTAAAAGAATCCAAACTAACAGCATATCATTGGTGAACCATTCCACAAACTTGTAGTTTTGTAAAAGAACAAGTCTACATTTGGGAAACCAAATATTACACTTGTTTTTTCATATTCAAATCCATATTTCCCACATTTTTATTTCACTCTCAGAGAAATCACTCATAGAAAAACTTCCTCAAGTCTTTCAGAGCTGTGAATGCCTGAATCTAACCATATCTGTCTAACCTTCAGATACAACAGATCCAAAATTTTAAACTTTCATCATAGTTCAAATTTTAAAAAACAGCTATTATACTAGTACATGCCCTTATATGTTCTTTTCCCAGCATGTTTAATGTCCTGCCAACAGTACAGAACTAATAATTTACACATTATTCTAAAGGTGACCTTACCAGTGTCCTATGTTATAATTCAACATTTATTAGCATTTTTGATGGATTTGGAAATATTACTGTTTTCTGAGACTTATCCAGAACATTCTCTGAAATGGAAAAAATGCCCATTTATCATTAAACAAATTGTTTATTGATTTCCTAGCATTTCCATCAATTATACAAGAGTTTTAATACATGTAATTGAACTTGTATGACATCATATTGCCAGTGTTCTAAGCAAAAAGAATTTCCTCAGTGTATGTTTTTCTAACTACTAAAATTTTGTATATTAGTTTTATCTCCACTTAAATTGTAAGATTTTTGATTAATTATTTTAATGTTTTAAAAGATGCACAAAATTCATGATTTGCATTTGTACTGGCTCTCTGTTAGGGAATATAGGTCATCTGTAATAAATAAATAAATAAAAAGCTTTATTCAAAGATTTAGATGGAAAGTTTTTCTGCAGTTCATTAATTCTAACTAACAAAACTTTATTCTCCACTCATAT